GCTCCAACGCCACACCGACGTAGCCGGTCTTTCCCGATTAGGTATCAAACCTCGCGACATGCCTTCAACGATGGACACCAGTCCGAAGTGTCTTGCATGTTTCTCTTCATCTCTGCGTTTGGCATGACGTCACTCTACCGATGGACTTGGTATGTGCCCCTCAGTGAGGCAGCTTCTTGAGGAACAATGCAAAGCCCCTTGTACCAGTGTGCCACTCTCGAATAGTCATAGCGTCCTGTGTAGTATAAAATCTGTCATACTTCTCCCCAAAAACACAAGATCCGGTTCCCCCCTCGAGTTCAGAGCTCATAAGTCGAGTTCGCCCCGTGTCTAAGCCTTTAAACTGTGTCACTTCGTCTCTCGCTGCGTAACCTCGAAACCTCGTCCACTGCGTGTACTCGTCGATACCGTCTCGACGAACCCTTCGACTTCGACGGTTGTCGAAGAAACTGCGAACTGCGTCCTAGCTAAGTCCCCCCCTTCGAGTCGTGTCCCTTCCTTCTACGATACGTCGAAGAGCTCTCCCGAGCTTCGATCGTCTCCACTAACCATACACAGCCTCCGAGTAGCTTTGACGATGTGTCGAAGCCACCTCGTAGCTTCCCCATTGTTCGTAGCCTTTTTCCGAAGGCGTTTCTCGTGTTCACTCGAACCGCGGGACACCTTGCTGCTAACTCCCCTCTCATTAGACTATAATCTGTCTCTCTAGTCCCTTTAGGTCGCACCCAGGTTAGGGGTTAGGGTTTCGTAGGTCGTATCAACGCGTGTCTGAAGCGCAATGGCCCTACGGGCGATGAGATCGGTCGTCAAAAGGACCGAAGTCAGTGGTGGTTGCAGGTACGTAGCTTCGACAATGTTGAGAGGAATGAGCGGATGGGTGCCCGTAACAGCGAAATAGGGTGAGCAGCCCATGCGTCGTCGAGTCGTGATGCGCTCGGACCAAAATACAAAGTACGCAGCTTGGGACCATTTCTTCTCATCTCCGTCGGCTGTCTTAAACAAGGCTTGTTGCGTGCTGAAGTGCGGACGTTCAACGAGACCGTTCGCCCTCAAATTGTACCCACTGATTCGAATATGGTTGATGTGGTACTTCTTCGAAAGGTAATCGGCCGCCTTGATGAACGCCGTACCGTTGTCGGTGACGATCTCACTGAGCGTGCCCCATCGACAGAGGATGTCTTCGAAGATCCAGTTGGCGAGGGCCTTCGCTGTCTCTTTTCGAAGCATTCGAAACTCGGGGTAAGTCGTGAGCGAGCATCTACCTTGGACCAAGTACTTGTATCCGCCCGAGGCTGGCATGTGCATTGTGTTGATGTGAATTTTCGCGAAGATGGGGGCTGGTACTGCGACGGTCGGAGGAATGAGGATTTGACGCACTTGTCGAGACTGGCAGATATGGCACGATCGAATGAACGAAGCAATGTCGGTGTAGTGGAACGGCCACCAGAATCGCTCATTGACGAAGGCTCGGGTTGCATAGATTCCTTGATGCGCGGTGTGGTCGTGGCATTCTCGAAGTATTTGAAGGCGATCGCCGGGCTTGACGACTAGCTTGTGTGCTCCGTGTCTCTCCTTGCGCCAGAGGGTGTCGTTGTCGAGGAATAATTGCATGCAGTACTTGATGAATCCTTTGTAAACGCTTTCGGAGATGCCATCGGGCTTTGCTAACGTTCGATGAAATTCGAGCACGTCGTCGAGCTTTGCATCTGCGAGTTGTGCTTGCTCCGATCGAGGCACTAGCTCGTAGCTATCCTCCTCCCTATTGAAATCTGAGCTGTCCTCGGCTCTGTCACTGGTGAAGACGGCGAGCAAAGGGACGGACGGGAGGGTCTGAATCTGGTGAACGAAAGAGTGCATCTGGTCGATCCAATCGTCGAACTCTTCGTCAACCTCGTCCTCGATGACATCACCGGGCTGAGCTGGGCGTCGAGAGAGACCGTCGGGGCCGTGCATTGTACCGGGGACGTGGACTAGGGTGAAATGGAATGTGAGAATCGAGACGATCCACCGGTTAATACTCGCGCTTGGGGCGATGTCTGGATTCTTCAGCATACCCTTGATGTACCGAGCATCGACTTCGACGATGAGGTTCCGAACGCCGATCAGGTAGAGTCGAAGGGATCGTAGTGCGCGAAACAGGCCGTAGATCTCGAGCTTCGGCTGCGAAAACCTTCGTTCGCGATCGTTGAGCGTGATCGAGCCGAACCTACTGTAGTAACGGACTCGCGTGTTGGCCTCGTTGCACTGGCAGAGGTGATATCCAACGGCGATGAACGACGTGTCGACTGCGAGAATGACGGGAGAGGGGGAATCATAATTAATGGCTCGGAGGGTGGGGGATGAGAGTAGTGCGTCCTTGAGGTCTTCCTGCGCCGCGATTTGCTCTGGACCAAACTCGAACTCGACGTCCTTCCTCGTGAGGCGTACGAGCGCGTCGGCGCGGTGAGCGAAATTGCGGATGAAGATTCGAACGACGCCGATGGTCCCGAGGAAGGCTCGAACGTCGGATAGAGTAGCGCAGGGACCCCAGTTGCGTATTGCTGTGACGCGAGAGTCGTCAGGGAGGCGTCCTTGAGGAGTGCAGCGATGTCCTACCACCATGATTTCTCGAGCAATGAGGACGCTTTTGACTCCAGAGAAGGTACCTCCGGCGTAGCGCATTCGAGTGACCACGCGGTTCATGTTCTCGAAATGCTCCCATACGAAGCGTCGAATGCCGGGGTTCGAAGGGAGCCGCTCGTCATCGTAGTCTGATTCGGGACCTTTGACGGGAACATCGTCGACGTAGGGCACCGTAATGTGCGGAATCTCGGGCTGGAGGATATAGGTGACGTCGTCGTGGAAGATCGGGACTGAGTTCGTCCAACCCATCGGGAGTGTTACCAAGCGCATGGCTCCGTAGGGTGTCTGGAACGTCGTTAGATCTCTCGAAGACTCGGCGATGAGTCGTTCATCATAGCCGACGTAGAGGTCGAGCATGCCGCCGCATGGTCTTCCTCCGAATTGTTCTGCAAGATATTCGGGCGTCGGCAGTACACCGGAATGTTGGATCGTGACTGCATTGAGGGGCTCGAGGGAATGGACGAGTCAAAGCGATTTACCGTCCTTCTTGACGACACAGAACCACCGCGATCGATACGACAAGTTCGATGGCTCATAGACTCCAGCGGCGATCTTTTGCTTGATCACCGCGCAGACTTCGTTGTAGATCCCGGGTGGAATGGGAATATTCTTCTGCACCCAGGGCGTGTGAGGAACAACGGGAAAATCGATGGGGGGGAAGTACTCGGGCTTGAAGCATCCTCGCTCGTCGTCGGTCCATGCGAAGGCTTCATTGTGCAGACACATGAAGTGGTGGAGGACTCGACGTTCTTCGGGAAGTAGGAAGTCGCCGTCGTGAAGCTTATCGGTTGCTTCGAAGCGTTCGAGGGTGTACCGACCAGTAGGTTTGAACGGCGGAGGGTCGGTCGAAAGCTTAGGCATGATGGATAGAGGGTCGCCCTTGATGTCTCGAAGTATTCGAAATTGTTCGGGGACGGCACCAAGGACGGGTCGGGTTTTGAGAGCGACAGGCTTGTATTTCTTCTTTGTCGCGGCGAGGATCTTGTGCGTTGAAGGGGTAGAAGTCGATGTCGTCGAAGGAAAGGGAAGAATTGAGTTGGAAAGCTGCGAGATGGACTTCGTCGGAGGGGGAGCTGGGCGAGTCGAAGCGAATGGAGCTGAGAATAGAAGAGTCGAAGCCCACGTCGAAGCGTTCGACGGGGCGGCATTAGAAGCTGTATTGTCCGAGGTGTAAAGAGACTGCAAATATGAAGAAACGGAGGTGCAAGTGGAGAGGTACAGTGATGAAACAGCGTTCGGAGTCGAGGAATCAATTGGAGAGACGAAGGAAATACTCGGTGTTACCCCATCGTAGTCGATGACTAGCGCGGCTTCTCCTTGATCATGGGGAATCAATTCCTCGAAGCGAGAAAATGCGATTTGCGACACCCGAGAGGATGCTGCCTGCTTCGCGATCTTCCTCGCGCGTACGTCGGAATCATGACAGTTTCGCCGGTGTTCGGACAGAGGATCGTAATGGTCTGATTCTCGTCGGCGAAGTTCTTGACGACGCTCTGCGTAAGCACATCGAAGGGTCGGCCGAGGAGAATGTTGTATGCTGCGTTTCGAATGACGTGAGCCTGGGGATACAATACGATCTCACCGATGCGGAAGGGAACGTTTCGAATGAGTCCCAACGATCAGTCCACCTCGCCGTTCGCCGATTGCATGTTCAGCTGGATAGTAGGATCGAAGAGGAGGTTGAGGCCGAGACAGACCTCTTCCGACATGGCGACGATCTGTGAACCGGGGTCGACGATGCATTCGATTTGCTCCTTGTTGTCGACCAACGCGATGATCGAACGAATCGCATTCGAGTCGCGTGCGACGGTGAATTCTGCGGGGTGCTCGCCGTGAGGGATGTGCTTCAGATAGGTTTCATATGGGTCGGGGATAATTGTAGCACCGGGTTCCAACGTTGCACCTGAACACGAGAGCTGGTTGACGGCCGTGACCTCGTCGGCGCCGATTTCTACGATGTGGGCCGTCGCGACGGGTTCCGTCGAGACTCGCTTAGGGGTGATGGCATCGTGGTACTTGTTTCGAACGTCGGGCGCGATTGACAGCAACTCTTCTGGGGTCAGCGTGACGAACGGCGACTTCATCGAACGCTGGAAGATCTCCTCGGCGAGCTTCGGCTGGATAACGGGGACGATGGTCTTGTACGCTGGTTCCTTGCCCTTGTCGTTCAAGGGCTTCGGCGGGGTTGCAAAGTTTCGAACGTTCGGTGGGGCGTAGGTTGCGTCGCAAGCGTTTGCGAAGGGGTGTACTGGTGGTGCTGGGGGAGCGGATGTAGTGATAGGTTGAGACGTGGATTGCGTAGGCGGCAAAGGCGGCGCGGGCGATGCTGCTGGTATCGTTGGAGGCGGAGCCGTGCTTGTTGAAGTGCTCGAGGGTGCCGCCACTCCTTTCGATGTACCAGATCCCGAGGCTTCCGCGCTCTTCGGGACGGCTGGCGTCATAGGCTTCTTCCGCTGTAAAATCTCGACGCTGTCGAAGACCTCCCTGCGCTTCCGAAGCTAAAGGAGTTCTCGCTCGAGCGCCTCGATCCTGCTGCTGGTGTTGAGCATGAATGTTTGCATAGTCGAGCGATCGTCGATCTCGAAGAGCATCGTCGGAGCGGCGGGTGCTGCGGGATTTCTTCTATGCCACTCGTAGATTCGATCTCATATTGTGAGACCAGGGATAGTGCGGGGGCAGAAGCTTCCGTTTGGAAGGACGATCTTGCCGTCGGTGTTCCGTTTGCACTTGCCGTCCCGAATGTCGATCTCCACGAACTCGCAGGTGCCTACCCTGCAGCCACGATTGCCGCAGTAGTGGCATGTCTGTTCAGCTCCACTGTTCTCGTGGACGTGGACGGCAGCTTGTTGTCTCGGTGCGGGGGCGTGGTTGTGTGTAGCATGCGTCGTCGGCTGAATAAGCGTCGCGATTGTCCTCGACAGACTTTCGATGATCATCGAGATGTCTTCGGTTTTGATCATCCCGGGGGGCACCGTTGTCGAGGTGGTCAATGTCGAAGCGATAGCTTGGTTAGCCGCTGTCGTAGGTGTGCTCGATGTACCGTGTAGAATGAAAGTGGCCACCACATGAATCTCTGCCATGGTGTATGGGTCGTCGGCATAGTGATCGGGATGCTTGAGATGCAGTCAGGTCTCGAGCCGTGTGAGCAACGCTGGCTGGAAACCTCGAAGAAATGCGCAACTTTGTTCGATAGGGGAGAGCCGGTGCTGTGCGATGAGATGTTTTGTAATGGCCATGAAGTCGCGGTAATAGCAGCCTAGGTCTGCCGCGTTGTGAATCCCGATACGAGCGCGTTCTCCGATGAGCTGATCTATGTCCGCCAGCGACCACTTTCTTGTATTGTCGGCGCCAGGATAGAGTGCTCGTACGTCGGCTTTCCAGTCGTTGTAGCTCTTGGCTACGTCGATGAAGGACTCGATGGTTTCCCACAAGTCGGCGACGTCGATCGAAGGGTACCGAACGGCCCACTGTTTCTTGGCTGCTTCGTCGGTAATCTGACACCGGGTGAACAATGCCTCGAGGTCCTGGAAGTAACGCCGAAGCGAGCGGACTTCCGACGGGTCGAAGCTTGGTGCCGTCGAATGACCGCGCGGGGGCATCAATGGTGTGTTCGTGTTCTGACTCATGTTTGTAGTGGTAGTAGGAGCTGGGCTCGAAGAGGACGTGGTAGTAGTCGAAGGAATCGTAGGAGCGGGCGGTGTGGAGTTGGAGTTCGAAGCTGTGTTCAAAGGTGCTAATGGTGGCGGAGGTGCCAGGTCGGATGAAGGTATGATTGAAAGTCGTGAAGAGGATGCAATGGGCGGCTGAGCGTGGACGCGAAAAGACGACGGAGTCGGAAGTACGAGATTCGAAGTAGCTGGGATGGGATCCTCGGGTTCGGGCGAAGAACTGGATCGTTCGAAAAGATCAGGAGTCGAAAAGTCGTCGTCGGAAGTAGTGAGGCCTAGAAGCTCGGGGGACGAAGTGTGTTCTTCGGCGGTCGAAGGGATTGGTTCTTCGTCGAAGTCGTCCTGGAGTTCTTGGTCTATCTCGTCTTCTTCGTCGCGGTCGAAGTCACCGGGGATTGTTGGAGAGGGGGTTGAATGTGTTCGAGAGGAGCTGTCGAGGTTCTCAGCGGCGCTGCGGCTAGCAGCCTCACGCGCTTGCGAGCGGGTGACTACTGGAGACGTTTTCGGAAACCCGAAAG